GTTGGAGTGGTATCTCTAGTTCGCGTTGGGTTTATTTTTTTGGTTGAACTTTTTGAAGTATTGTTGTTTGTATGTGGTGACGCTGAGCGACCTCGCTGTTTTGAGTTCCTTCTCTTAGGTGCCATTGTAAAAGAGGAGAATGAGTTTTTTTATTCTTATAGTTATTATATCTGTTGTTATTATTATTATCATTATATTAGCACTTGTAGTTACAAATTTAGTTGGTTTATAACGTAGCAACTAGTTAGCTAATGCAAATTTATTTTATATAAATAGAATAATTTTTTGCTTAAGTTGTAAATTAAATCATTTACGAGTTTTAGTTTTATTACAAATTCAAGTAATAAATAAAGAAATCAACTTTGAAAAACAATTACTTTTTCCTTTTACATATCTATCATCTAGAATTTGATTGTAAATCACTACACTGACTTGCTTTTAAGTTCATCACTTAAAATAAACAAATTCTCTACTTTTTTTCCTAAGTTACAAAACCTTTAAGTTAATAAAGTTAAGTGAAGTAATTCTAAGGCATTTCAGATACCTGTAAGACGTGAGATTTCCTAAGGTTGTAAAATCTAATGATAAGAAATTTACTTATCACAATAAAAGTAACTTAGTAAAATACGTGTGATAGAAAGATAATTATTTCTGATAACAACATGTATATTGGTCAGAAATGTTAAGGCTACCTTATTTTAATTCGATTTAATATGTTGTCACAATCTGATGCATTGCTTTTTTCTTGATATTACTCATAAAATAGTAAAAAGATTATAGTTTAATATAATTGTTCTTATATTATTAGAAGAACAGGTAAAAATTATCAACTTACCTGCTGATTTGAATCAAATCCTAAATAAAATTTTAACTAAAAAAAGGTTTTTTGACTTTACAACTAATCAATAAAAGACTTTTATTTTAGTATATACGACTCTATTATTATGGGATCTTTGAATTTATCAGATAGAGAAATTTTAGTTAATTTTAAAGATGGTTCCCATAATTATTTTTAAAATTTTTAACTAGTTGCAACTTAAGTTGCAACACTTTGAGTTGCAATATTTTATGAATTTTTATATTAAAAAAATTTACAAGGAGTTGCAACCAAGTTGCAACTTACTGAGTTACAACTTCTTAATTATGTGCCTACATTTAACTGTATTAAATGATTAGTAATAAAAATACTTATCTAAACTATTTTCAGAAAATTGCAGTTTTGAAATATTTGAAATTAAACTATTTATTTATAATAAATATCTTTACCTAAACTTTTAATAGGCTTTTCTAAACTTAATTAAGTTTAATATTTTAAAAAAATTATTTTAAAGGTTTTAAAAAAGGTTTTGAATTTTTAAATAACGCATTAAAATAGGTTTTGAATAATATCATTAATTAGCAATAAAATTTTGATCTTTTAAATTTTATAAATCTATCTGATTTTGCTGATTTTGCTGATTTTTTAATTATTGTATTATTTGTTTTATCATTTTATTATATATATTATATATATTATATTTCATATTTTTTATATTTGTATTTATAAATTTAATTAGTTTATATTATATTAATTAGTTCATTATAACAAATAGTTTTAATATAATAAAATTACTTTTGCTTAGATTATAAATTAATTTTTTTTAAATATTAAGTATTAATAAAAGGAATTAATTTAAAAATATAAATACTTACCTTCTATTATATTAAAATTGTTTTAAATTCATAATTAAGAATAAATAAATTTTCTAAATCAACTAAGTTTTTAAGTTAAAATTTTATATAAGTAATTTTAAAGAATTCTAGATATTTATAAGATATGAGATTTCTTTAAAAAATATATTATTCTAAAGAATAATAAAAAATTATTCTTTCAAAATGATGATATATCATTTTGAAAGAATGATAAAAAATTATAAAAAGGAATTTATTTGTCACAATAAAGTAACTTAGATCTATATATATAAAAGAAAAATATAAATATTTTCAGTAATAAAATATAGAATTTATTAAAAATAAACTATAGGAAATATATATTTTAAATTATAAGTAATATTTAATCAAATATTTAATAAATAGAATAAAAGATTTAAATTTAATTTATTATATTAAAAGAATTTAATAAAAAATATGATAAGTAAATCTTTAATTTTATTATTTTTATTAACTTTGATATAGTTTTACTTTTTTCAAATTTTACAGATTTTTTAATATAATTTAATCAAATTTTACCTTTATTATTTAAATATTTAATTATATCTTAGATTTTATCTAGTAATTTAAATATTATAAATCTAATTATAATTATGTATTATTTTATATTCTATATTTTTATTTATTATAGTTTTTATTTTTTTATTGTTATAAAATTATAAATTTTTTTTTTACAATACTTTATATAATATGTATTTATATATTACAGTCAAACCAATTATTAATATAATAATCACTTGTTAAAATAATTTTTTAAAAATTTTGACTTTATATTTTTTATATTTAAATATATAAAAATTATTATATAGAGCTTATAAATTTTGATAAATTGAATTTTTATTAAAAATTTTATAGTAAGCTAAAGAGTTTGTTATATTGAAATTATATATTAATTTTATATAATTATTTTGTATTTTTATATTACTTTATTTAATTTTTTAAATCATATAAAGGATTAAATTATATATGTTTTGATGTTTAACTATTTAAAATTAAATAAATATATAGTTTAATATTGTTATTCAACTAAATTCCTATAGTTTAAACTTACTGAAACTAGTTTAATTAGTTTAATTAAGTATCAAAATTAGTTTTGGTTATATAACCAAAACTACTAAACTAATTTGTTTAATTAAAAGCAATTTTTAGTAATCTTGGATAGTAACCTTAATGTAGTTATTTCTTTTAATTATATATCTTGTATTTAACAATAATTTTCTAAACCATTTTCTTATTCTTAAATAAATTATAATTTTTATTAATTTAATTATCCTTTAAACATTTTTTTAATTATTTTATACTTTTCAATATTTATTATTTAATTAACAAATTTATTTATCTATTATAATATATTATATAATTAATTAATTTATTTATTTTCTTAATTAAAAACTCTTTATAATTATTTTTTATAATTGGTTTTTTGTTTTTCTATATTTTTATATTAAGTTATCAACTAAGATATAATTTATTTTATAATAAAATAATAATTTTAAATAAATAATTTTAATTTTATATATATAAAAAGTTCAAATTATAGAATTAGTTTTATTAGATAGCCTAATTACAAAAAATAAAATTTATTAAACAAGAAAATTAAATACACTATATTAGTAATTTTTTTAAAATTATTATAATAGAAATTAGATATCTCTCAAACAGGCTACATAAATAACTTTTAACAGTTTGTTTTATTATTAAATAGTTAAAAATCAGTATTTTATAATTATCTTATTATTCAGATGTTTAAATTTGATCAAGTTTTTTACAACAACTACTGATATGATTTAAGAGATTAATTTATTTTGTAGAATTCATTGAATATTACAAATATGAATTTCAGTAAATAGAATTGATTTTAAGTAAAATTACATTGTGATCTGTATCAGAGATAATCAGGATCATGTTATAATTAATATCATATGATATAAGGATTAAAATAAATAATGATCATTAGTAATGCTTGATAAAACTACCTTTCTTAATATGATGAAACTGACGAAACTGAAATATTTTTATTTAATTGCCAAAAATTATATTTAACTTAATTTGTATTCTTTAAATTAAAATTTATAAAGAAATATAATAATAATTTTATATTTATTCTATTTCTAACATTAGTTTATAATAAAATATAGGCTTTTAAAGTTAAAAATTTAGTAGAGTGTTATTTTTAAATAATAGTATATAATTATACTTATTGTTACATATAATTATAATTACTACTATTATACATATTGCTACATACCATTTTTTGCAAAAATATTAATAAATTGAATTTATCTTTTTTTAGAAAAATTAATCTGTAGCACTTATGTTAGTACTTTAATGTGAAGTACTACGGTAGAAGTACTCCAAAGATTTACTAAACTTTAATATCTGATATCTGTTAATGAACTGTAATATCTACGAAGTATTTCGAATGAAGCACTTTATAAATATTACGGAGCCGTAGTACTTTGATGAAAACTTTACAGACTATTTTAACCGAAATCCATTTCGCAGGAACAATTTAAAACAGCAAAAGTATAATTATCTGAACTAGTGTTTCGGGAGAAACCATTTTCTCAAATCGGAAACTTTCGCACAGTTAATTTTTCATATATCCGAAACCTTCATTAGGAAACACTCGGTAGATCAAATTGGGCGAAACGAGTTTCGCCCGAAAACATTATGAATTACAACACCCAAAATATAATTTTTAATTAATAAATCCAATGACAATCATATTCAAAAGTTTAATATCTCTAGATTGATATATGATTACCTTGGGTAATATTTCATTAAAAAATTACTCCAATTAATTGCTACAAATGATCATTAGAAAAACCAAATATTCTTTCTGTTGCTTGCGTATTCGTGATTTTTTATCGATACAGTGTTAAAACTGAACGATCAATCTATTTTGGTAGATTTTTTGTATTATTATGTTGTTTGTCATAATTTATTTGGCTTTGAACTGTGCTTGTGCTTAAAAAAGTTATAAGTCTACGGAATACTAGAGATCAGTTTATTCTAATGCATATCATGCATTATCTATATTACTTTTTGCTTAAAGTAACGCTTGTTTGAAGTATCATGATTCCGCAATTTGATAAAGGAATTAAATTTTACATTTAAATAAGAAAGAAAATTTTCTACAACTTGAATCATATAAGATTTTTTGATTTAAAATGAACCTTCTCACGTAGATTTCCTCTTAGTGCCTGCATGTTGAATAGGTTGTTCGTTGGAATTTAAAGTTTCGATATTCATCAACCTTGTAGCATGAAAAATTGACACTCTAAAACGTACATTACGCGTGGCGCGTAACAAATAGGGTTGGATCGGTCCTGGTAAGACCGGTCTTAGACCGGTTAACGTTAATAGGACCGGTCCTTACGATCCTCGGTCTTAATTCTGAGGATCGATCTGGACCAGTCCATCATATTTGATATGTAACTATGTGCATGCAGACCATAATATTATCGCAACTATTATGCTATAGTACAAGTTGAATGGCGATTTTAAAGATTTATTAATAGTTTTATAGTTTCGGTGGTAACCCATCGAAACCTAAAGTGTAATGCTGCAAACTTTATCACTGAACAATTATTTTATAGCAAAAATTTATAGGTCTGACAGGAGTTTGGTCTTAAGACCGGTCCTAGAACTGGTCCAAGGACTGACTTATGGACCGGACCGGTCCAAAGATAGATGAAAGACCGGTCTTTTTGGACTGAACCGGACCGATCCGATTCAAAGTATAACCCATTAGAATGTATTCAGCACATATCTTCATATTTAATGAGATAGTAAATGTATGGTTTCGTCAATAGAAACGCTATTGGTAAAACATTTTTGATTTTTCGGTCTTGAAAAACTCGGTATTTACCAAATCATTTTCTACAATATAAAAAATATTTGAAAATGTCGATCATTTTACAAATCGCCACAAATTTAAATGTGGTGAAAAACATTAAAAACGGCTAAATTTTAATCTGTCTTAGCAACGCATACTGCTAATAATAATTTACTAATTACCTTTACCAGTGTTTAAATTTTGCCGTGACCAATCATTTTGGCCAATGCCATTTACATATGCAACGAAACGGAAACGTATAATTACAGGTGTGTACATCTATATCGTAGGCTAAAAGAATAATATATACATGGTTTCGTATACTTTGTACTTTGACCTTGATTGGGCAGCCAGTGTACAAAGCCCCTATAATTAATTCTCCTTGGCAGGTACGGATCTCATTTCTCGAATTTGTTGTTTGGAGCATTAAATTGGAGTGACTAGTTTGCCTGGTGCAGGAAATAATATCATAGCACGAACGGGTATTATTCAAAAAAGACGTGGCTTTTTGACCGTTTGTCTGAAAATTCATATAACGATTATGCGGAAGTCAGAATCCCGAATGATAACCATGACGATGTGCTTCCCAAAAAAATAATTAACGATCAAATATCGTCAATCTTTAATTTAGGATCTTCAACAGACTAACGCAGTTGTCATATCTCCGAAATCAAATAAATATCTGAGTATGGTAGTTTCTATCTAAAAAGAGAAATTATGTACTTATTTATTTGTTAAAGAAAAAATTTTTTCAATACAAAAAAAAGGTTAATCAACACAAGATACCGGATAAAGTGACAATCTCAATTCAATTTTCTCGTATGCCTTATTGGTCATAATGCATACATTAAATTACCTAGTTTAATGTTCACAAACGTGAAAATGTCTCCAAGTCTATTTGAAATAATTTTGTGTTGACCTTTTTTTATGTCTTCATATCATGTTTCTTTATTTACTGTATATGCATAAGAATGAATCAATAAACGTTGCTTTATAGCTGCGCCGCATACTTACTGCGTCAGGTCTTGTTTCCTAAAAATGGCGTTAATTATATATAACAATGACTATTTAAGAGACAATTAAGCTATATTTCTTGTTTAACTTTAATTTGAAACTTTTCTTACACCCTCCACTCCCGATCATTTCACTTGAACGTGAAACCCGTGCGCCATTTGAGACGTTTGCGAAGTTTCAGTTAAAAAATTTCTAATTATCTTATTCTTTTCCACCTTAAAGTAGTACATTTATCTGTTGTATTCATTTCTTTTGAAATAGTTATAATGGATAATTATAATAATAATAATTTTCATATGTAATTAATTTATTGTATAAATCTCATCTCTTGCGCGTTGATTTTATAATCTTCAATTAACCTGCTTCAAATATTGCGAAATCGCTTGGGGTTGATGGAATGGATATATTTGTCGGCAATGTATCGGATAGGGGTAATGTTACATTTTTTTATTTCATTTTTTTTTTATCATACACCGAGATTCGGGTTTCAAAATGTCGCTGATTCTTCTATATCATACAATATCGGGGGAGGGGAGGGTGCAATCGTCAAGTTCTGATAATAATCAGACGATACTTTACCTTGAATAGCGTTGATTTGACATGGAGGGCCGATAGCTCAACATTATCACACGCAACTTTTCTTACCGATGTTCAAATCGATACTGTCATCACATGACATGCTTTACCTCAACTTTAAACGAAAGGCTATTGATAAAATACTTATTGATGATCGTTATGATCATGCCCGAAGGAGTATTAATTTTTTTATTTAATTATATGCTAGTCTTTCATGCACTAATAATCAATCATCAATGGCTGTGCGAATACCATATTTTTTGGTCATCAGCGTAACAAATTGCTTTGTGGAGATTGGATACTAAATCCTTAACATGGTAACAACCGGCAAAGAAACCAAATGATTTTTGATGATTGGTAAATAATATAATATTACATATTTTGGGAAGCGGATAAACAATTCCGATAATTTTACTCAAGGCGGAAATCATTTTTTTTTGAAATGATGTCAACACATGACAAAAAAAAAAATAGTTCCTCAGACGATGTTAACGGTGCAAATGATGACTGGATTCGAAAATTATCGTATGACAATTTAATTAGTTCTCTTTAGTTAAACAATTATTTTTTATTTGTTTTAGGCTGAAAGATAAGATAATCTTTTCAATGTATTCCTTTTTTAAATGATCTCGTAATTTGAAAGAGCATTTAAATTAATAATTAGTTTATGTATAAATTATTCATTAATTTAAAAAAAAAATGCCTTTTTAATGTTTAAAGGCTAGCTCCAAAATGTTTTGAAACTAAAATATTATTCGACATTCATTCTAAATGTATTAGAGCCACAAACGGTAAACATACACCAGATTAAAGAATATTGCAAGTTTACATAAACCTAAATCATTAATAGCTTCTTTTGCATAAGGAACTTACATAATATAAAACCAGGTTTATAATCCTACCATCCTACCACTTACTTTTTTATTTCTAGACCATTCTTTGATACGTCCATCAAAAAAAAACCAAGTAACCTTGTATGTAGTTAATATAAAAAAAACCCCCCTTTTATCAAGATTTTTCAAAACCTATTTAGGGAATCCATTCTAATTACTGAACATTCGGTTATTTTCTTGAACAAATTTATTGTCAAATGAACTTTTTTGCGACATTTTTTTTTTTTGAATTATTCCCACCAGAAAATCTTGAAACATTTGAGGTATATACGCTCTTTTTAAAAATTTAACTTTACGCCATATTTTAGCATTGGAATTCTTTTTTTTGTGTCATAATGTAATATTTATTATTTAAATTGGATATGAAACAACCTTTTTTTAGTAAGGTTAACCTAAACTTGCTTATGATATTCCGAAAAAGAAGTCAATGCATTAACTAAAAGGTGTCAGCCGAAACTTAAAGTTTAGGCGTAGCCGAAACCGAAATTAGATTGGTTATTTTTCTTTTTATTTTAATTTTTTCTTTTGTTAAAAAGGCATACGATGCGATGCATATTAATTACCCAAGACATTATTATAAAATGATGTAGATACTTTGTAAAGTGAAAAAAAAGGGGGAGGTGTCTAGAATTCTTCTTCTATTAAGTTTAATTAAGTTTAATGAAATATTTTTTCGATTCGGTTGGGCCAATCAATAGAACGCTTGACCGATTTGCGCCCACAATTGTAACTTTTTTTCCTCGCTCTAATAACTTTATGGTTACACCGATTTCTTTAATTTCAACGCTTTAGCCGGACAGATCCATTAGAAAATCAATTAATTGAATCAACTATTTTTATAAAAAATAACATAACACGACACAGGCCATAAATTTTCAGCCACATAGCCTTTTATGACAATGTACGTTATTTTATCAGTCCGTTTGGGGAAGAAATTAAGTTTTTTTTTTTGACCCAAATTAGTGACAAAAAGGTTAGATTAAAAGTTTGGTGAAATCATAATAACAAACGAACAGCTTTTTAATTTATAAATATTTATTTAAAACAATATAAAGAAAAAAGATACTAAGCATCATTAGGTAACTTGGAAAGAAAGAATGTTGCAAAGTACAATCTGTACGATTTAATTTATACTTAATTAATTTAAAAGAAAATAAGAGATGCACATTATTCTCAAATTAATTTTGGGATTTTCAAAGAACAAATGGGTCCTTTTTAATTAGAAAAGGAGGAAACTGTTGGAAGGATAATGCAATTTTTTTTTCGGGCTGAAAAAACCCGGCAGTTCTCCCTTTCATTACAATGGGTCCAAATGTATAAACTTAAGGGTCATTTGATCAAAACCAACAATCTTTGCCGAATCCCCAAGAACTTGCTCCATTTTGTAACGCTCAAAATTTTTTGCACAGCGAACGATATTTTAAGCGAAATAACATAATAGAAAATGGTAAAGGCGCACGTTCTTTTCGAAAATGTGTAAGCCACAAAATTTAAGGCTCATAAGCAATAAAATCATGTTAAAAAAAATCATATGCAATAAGATAATCGTCTCGAATATATAAGGATAAATGTTTTCGTGAAAATTGATCAGAAAGGGAGTTACGACACCTTTGAAAATTATAAAAATGCCTTTTTTAGAAGGTTTACTGATGTTGTTTAAATAAATGATAACAAAAAAAAACAATTATGTCAAAAAAAAAAATCTAATATTTATTTGTCGTTCGATTACATCTAAATTGAATATAATCAAAATATTTCGATCGTTAAACAATATCTAATAAAGGAAATAATCAAAATAGCAATTCTCCAATCTCTTTTTTTTCTTTTTTTTAAAAAAAAAAAAAAAAAAATGGCTTAGATGGCTTGGCTTTAGATGAGTTTTAATCGAACAAGTTTCTTTCTAATTTATTCGGATGCTCGGCGGGACATTGTTAAAATCAAAAAAAAAAAAAAAAAAAGGTAGCAAATAATAAGCCACGAGGGCGCATTGAAAATATGTTTAACGAGCCTCATTAGTTATAGTGGCGCAGTGCATTGTATGAGTATTGTCAATGAGGAAAGTGGCTCTATAAAAGATTCTTGATTGTGAAATTATACACTATGATACTTGATGGATTCAAGGCTTGCTTTTTTGCGGCTTGTCGCAACCATTCATAATCCTGAACATACTGTATGATCATTTATCTAAGCCTCACTAACAGTTTCTCACGAGCCATCTAAGCAATTTGTAATATAGTTGATTTCATTCAAAAAAAATAAAATGATCGAGATCAATCGAAAAAAAGTAGTTCTCAAAAAAACTTGTGAAGGAAGCAATCGTGGCTTGGAAAAATAAAACAAGAGGACTAGGCAAGTTATGAGTGGCTTATTATTATTAATTTTTTTTTTTTTCAAACATGATCGAGATTATAATAATAATGCAATTGTAAGGCATCGTTTCTAAGCAAAAATATCTTTTGCAAATGTGATCGTTAATTAATTTCCAGGACCATCGGGATTTTTATCAAGTAACTGTTGCTCAAATCTGAAAGGGGGTTTTTTTTATGGCTTAGTTCCAATAATTTCACAAATGGCTTGGTTATATACTGTTTCCTAATATCATGGCTTATTATTTATTAATCTCCGAGGTTCAAATCTAATGCCTAAATATTCCATTCATGGCTTGTGTTGAGATACTATTTTTCGCCTAGGCCATCTAAAGAAATTAAAAATTGTAAATAAATAACTAAATTTGGAAAAATGTGTTGGTTTATTATTTGGTATCCATGATCGAGATCAAATCGAAACGCGTGTTTTAAAAATTAATATAATCATACAAACCGAAAATTCTTCCGAGCTGGGATTAATTGTTCCATGTTTTTATCAAGTTTTTAAGTCGGGTTTTCAAAATTTTTATGGCTTAGTAAAAATGCTCAGACGTGCGTGGCTTCCATTGGTGTGCGGTGGCTTTGTACCTATTTCCAAACTTGTGATATTCCTGGTTGTATCGGAGTTCGGAATTTTAAGTGACATTCATTCAAATAAATGATTTTCCATTACAATACAATGAATTGAGTCATCAATCATCATAGTGATGTCAGGATTAGTCGTGGATAGGAATGATAACTTGATGACCGTTTTCCAAAATTGTCGGACTAAAAAATCACTATCGAATAAAATGATTATTAATTTTAAAAAGGTCGGAAACCAAACTTATTCGAAAATACCACAGCCTGATATATTTTTATTTTTTGGGGGGAAATTTCTCGTAGACCAAAGTGGTTTAGCACACTAGAATACACCAATCTTTTTTTATGTATAAACCTCAAAAACATGAAAGCAGAAAACTTAGTAGGTGATTATTATAATTTGTCCTCCCCACACATAAACAATGCAGCTAAAATTAAAATTTTAGGACCAAAATCCAGGTAGACGGGAAAATCTAGATGATGATTTCAATTTTGGAAGGTCAATAATTTGAATTTAGTATGGGGATTATATAGTTTGAAAAATCGATCTAAATTTTTTTTTTAATATGAACAATTATAGTTTAGCCCATATGTAAATACGACTTTCAGGCTACATTGCGTGAGAAGAAATTAAAAGATGCATCGAGAAAAAGAAAAAGAAAAAGAAAATATAAAAAAAAAAACCCCAGCCTCATTTTAATTTGGAAGTCACAACAAGCATTTCATTCTAAATTATTGCTATCGAGATTTTTATCCTGTTGATTTTTTTTTTTTTTAACCCCTCCCCTTTAATCAATTGTTTTTTTTTGTGAATTTCCTTAAATGTATTATGTGATTATGCTCTAGATCTTTTTTTTTTTTTTTCATTGTTGCATAAATTAACCAATCATCGCTCGTACATTAATGAATGTTTAAATTAAAATCATTAAACCTAATATGCAGGGTAAGTATGATTTCTCAACTCATTTGACGAATTTTTACACTCCTCATCCTTGGCGACCAAGGGACCACCACTCAAGAAGATTCAAGGATAGCCACTAGCAAAGCCGAAAATTGGGTGATTTCCTAAACACCTTTGAATGCGGTTACTACAGTTGCAGATGTATAACAAATGCATGATCTGCACAACTGAACAATTGAAGTACAGCAGCACACATTAAAATAAAATAAAATAAAATAAATAAAAGGGTTGATAAAGTGGAGTTCGGATTTAAATGGAAATCACCTAGTTTAATTTAACTCATGATTAACTTATGGATTAGCTGTACAATGACGTTTTTATATGAGAGGCAAAGTAAAAAAAAAAGTATCGAAGGCTTTTTGTACAGTATGCTCATTATACATATTTACTTTTTTAGGTTTCCTTGTTTATAAAAATGTAATGCCATTTGATCGTTTTAAAACTTTTTTAGTTTATATATAATTATATAATTTAAGGGTCAGGTGTTTGTATAGTGAACAAAGGAAAAAAAAAAAAAAAAAACTCTCGGGATATTTATTATAAAATAAATACAACAAACAAATCTCCCCTCAATTAAAATAAAAAGGAAAATGGTTTCCTAACTAAATGACTTAGGATTACAATTTTTTTAAATTAAACGGATAAAATAAAAAGCTTTTTTTTTGTTAACTCTCGGAAATAATTTTTAAACTACGCCTCTTTGAAAGCATTATGTATTTTATGTATTCTCATACCATGAATATCGAATAATATCATTTTACTTGTTGATAAGTAAAAACTGCAAAAAGAAGTATTTTATAATATATGCAAGTAGGAAAAAAATCCTTTTATTATTTAAACTAGTTTTTTTTTTCTCATTATTTTTTTTTTTTTTTTTTTTTTTTTTTTAGTTATTAGCCGCAATATGGCTATAAATGGAAAAGAACGAAATCAGATTTTTGATCATCGTTCCGTTCTTGGTAAAGCCTTGATTCTTTTTTTTTTTTTTTTTGAAGTTTTTTTGAGTCTTAAAAAAACCAAAAATACAATAAATAAATAAAAAAAAAAAAACCTACTCAAAAAATCATTTACAAATATAAATATAAAACGATTTATTCTAAAAAATTTTTTTTTATACATTTTTTTTGAAAAATCACCTTTTCTTAAACCGCAATATAAAACTTGTCACAAGTTTTTTTTTTTTTGGACAAAATAATTATAATTCGTAACTTCTTTTCTTTGTTAATTGGATATATCTTCTCTTTGTTTCTTTCCCTTATATTTTTGGTTTCAAAGACTCATTTTTCAAGATCAAAATATATATATATATATCCAACATAATTTTCTTTTTAATATTATTTTACCAAAAGATACTTGAACTTTTTTTTTTTTTTGAAAAACAAATACCACTTTTTTCCCTTTTTTTCTTTTACAAATTATCAACCGTGGCGTTCATAACGTTTTTTCTTCAACGTATAATTCCCCTTCCAAAAAAAGTTGCAAAACTTCCTCCAAACTCACCATCAACCACACCAAGAACATCTCGTCGCTTCTCATCATCATCGGCTTCCTCCTTTCTCTTCCCTCAAAAAAAAATTCTAATAATAATGGCAACAACGTTGCCTAATGAAATATTAATAGAAATATGCAGATATTTATCTCCTTCTGATCTATACAATTTAACCTTGGTGTGCAAGCGATTTCGAAATCTTTTGTGGAATAAAACAAATGAATCAACACAATTGATTTGGCGTATTTCGCGATTAAATTTTATTCCACATTTAAAACTTCCATGTCCTGAAGGGATGAGTGAACAAAAGTATGTATGGTTGATGCAATTGTTAGATAAATGTATGTTTTGTGAGGAAAGAAATAAATGGAAGCTGTCAATGTATTGGGAATTCAAAATGTATTGTTGTCAACGTTGTTTGGCTCAAAGAACTGTTAGGTAAGGTTTAAACTTGATTATTAATTTTTAAAAGTCATCTTTCTTTGAAATAACTTAACTAACCTCTTTCTTTTCTTTTTATTGATCACAGCCGTGATACATTAATCAAAGAATGGGAGATCTCCGAAAAGTTATTAACATGCATAGTTCCACTGCCACCAAATGCGCAACGGCCGCAACTATTTTTAATGAAACAAGTAACTCAAACAATAAAAGAATACAAAAAATTATCCATAACTAAGAAAGAAAATTGGATAAAACGAAAACAAAAAGAAATTAATAATTTGAAAGATGAAAATAAGAAATACATTAAGCAACATGATTATGGAAGATATGACTATAACGAGAGATTGGAAAGGCTATTTAGTACTTTACAAATGAGTACTGACTATGCTTATCGGAGAAGAGAAGATAATGATGGTTTTGTTGGAAGAAAGGAAAAAAAAAGGAGTAATTAAGAAAGTGAAAAAAAATTTTTTTTTATGTAAGATATTGAAATTTTGGGATTCACGTTTAAGGTCATCATTGATTATGAACGGACTCGTTAATGTATTATAATAATTAATATGTACAATAGTTTTATATTTTTTTTTTATTTTTTATGTTGAAAAATATTTTCGAACGAGAAATTTTAACTTAGCAAAAAAAAACATTCACAAACTTTTATTCCTCTTTTCTTTTTTTTTAAAAAAAAAGGGTGAATGGATTTTTATTTTTGAACATTTAAACAGATAGCAGGCCAAATTGAATGGCTTTATGAACAATATTTTGTAACCTTTTCCTAATTTTCACTTAATGATAATTGATGATGATGTTAATCACCTTTTGTAAATAATAATTTTAATAACAAAAATTAATTAAAGAATTCCAAAATTTTGAAACCATAAAGTGATTTTATCGGACAATTTGAATATTCAATCAATACAAGAAAAATTTATTATAAAAATTAAATTCTTTTTGGTACGGCATAAACCAGGATTCCGGATTTCGCTATGCATTGCATAAAGTTGCATATATTGCGGAGTATAATCTAATTCTAACCAATACCAAATTTATTACGTAAAAGCAGATGCGAGTTACCTGTGCAAGATAAGAAACAAATATCTCCATACATATCAATGCATTTACATAAAAAAAAAATATCCGATACTTTCTTCAACTTGGAAATAGATGAAACCTCCTTTCTTTGTGTTAAAATATATACATACACTAACTAAAATTAAATTACAAATTCCCTACAAAATTATCTACTGTATAACCTATGATATAATGATGATGGGTCTGAACGTTTTAATTTATATTGTGGCTTGCATTAAGTTGCATTTTTTTTTTAAAAAAAGGTAATGCAAAGTCACTACGCTAATAAATAATGAGGAAAGCCGTGTTTGAATTGCTTCTGAAAAAATTCCAAGCTAATTTATTATATACAAGCAAACATTTTCTTGACCAAATAAAATTTCTTCACGTTAATTAAAAATTCTTGAGGCTTTAATGACTTTTACAATTCGTGAGTAACAAGGTGGCTGGTGAAAATTTATAGGAATGGCTTAGTTAGTAATTTTATTTACGTGACCATTCGATTTTTAAAACCAAAATGTTTAAAAATATGCGACATTCATTTAGAAAAAAAAAATATTATTATTACTGCGCCAAATTGCGCTTTATTTTGTTTCTACGCCACACGTCCTTTGTAATTACTGCGCATCATCATTTTAACCTTTCAATTGATAACAAAAACGCGTGATAAATAAATACTAATTTCATTAAAATATTAAAATGATTGATTTATCCAATTTTCAACTCAGATGATTCATATTTATTTACAAGAATGCGTCTTAAATATCTTTATTATCTTAATTGCTTCTTCCTCTTTGTTCAGTATCAAAAAAAAATAACTTGTAATACATCGTTTTTCGCGTATTACTGAAAGGGCAAATGAAATGCTTATATTAGATCTATTTGCGGTTTATTTACTGATGAAATTTTTATTATCGGATTTGACTCAAATCAACTAAAAGAAGTATGTTTTATAATGATTAATGATTTAGTTCTTTTAGGGGTTATGGTAATAAGTAAATATTATTGTTATGTGAAAATACTACAAACAGCCCTCAATCACAGACAAAATTTTAAAATCATGCATTGTAAAAATAAAGATCATACAAACTTGAGTGTGCATTTATAAAGTGTATAATTAATGGTGTATGCATTTCAGAAAGTGCATTTGACTGCATATTAATCCATTGCATAGCAAAATAATCAAATTTCTATAGCCCTTGTCATGCTCATAATAATGTTCAATCAAAGTTAGCATTATTCAAATTTTTCAATCGGCAATAATAAAAAACAGAAGCACAACTTATTTTCAAAAAAGATGCAGTTGATCATATTAAAAAGTTGTTCTTTAAAGAGGATGCTGGTTAGTTTATCAATTATCAATTTGTCTAATAGATTTATTAATAATTAAAAAAAATATGTTAAAATATATAGTTAAGCAAGATAATTTATGATTAATAGATAATACTTAACTTATTTCATACATTATATCCTATTTAATAACATTTATATAATAAATAAATAAAGTAAGTAGACAAATGATAGAAAATAAATAATAATACACTAATAAAATAATAAATAAAATACTAATCATTCAATACAATCAGATATATTTATTAAATAAAAACTTAGTTAAAATAAAAATCTTAGAAAATTTCTTATAATTTATTTATATATATTATGTTATTATTTTTAAATTAATTAATTATCTATTTACAATAAATAAATTATACATGAAGCAGTGTATAAAATTTATGTGCACAATGTGCACATGTGCACATTAATTTTTTGTATGCACATATTATATAACATAAAATGTGCACAAATTATTACTAAAAATAGATAAATTATGTATAAAAAAGTTAATTTTACATAAGAAAATGTTATGATTTTCTTATTTTAGTAATAATTAATCAATTTGTGCACATAAATTTTAACTTAGATTTTATACATTGATATGAAGTTAAAATAGATTATTTTAATTATCTGAAATGGTTGAAATGGTCAAAAGATTTTAATTTTGGGAGGTTTAAAGTCGAAATAATTGAAATAACATTATATTACATGATTTTTATATATAAAAAATCTAAAAAACAAAAAATATACAATTTCAGTCAATATCGCTTTATATCTCATGAAATAATTACCATTAAATTTCTTGCAATTCTATATTAGTTGATAATAATTAAAACTTTATCGTAAATTACACTGCAATAGTTTCTAGTTCATAGCAGATTGTAATAATAATTTACAGGATTTATCAGTTTGATTTTGAGAATAAATTTTATAAGATATGTGCAAATTATATATATAGTAGATCTGTATTTGTAGAATATAATAATTATATACTTAGAATAACTTGTGATCAGATTGAACTAAAAACTAATAAAAGAACGTTATCTGTAACAGATAATGCCCTATAAGAAATCGAAATAAGGAAATGATACGTTTTTGTTAAGGTTTGTATACGTAATTAATGATTCTATATCAAA